GTGGCTAAGGGATTTCCATGAGCTATGCCATGACATGTGTGGCTAAGGGATTCCTGTGGACATGAAGACTGAGGGCAGGATAGTTCATCAGGTGAAGGATGGGTGACCGTTATTACAGCAAGAGGTGGAAGAGGGAGTGATACTAAGGTGTCATGGTTCTGTTCCACCCTTGTGCAAGGCCCACAGMCTTTGTGATCTCTCCCTGTTACTCTGCTATCCTCATTTACAGATAAAGAGATTGCCCCACCACTTATGACAGCAGRAACAGAAGATTTGACTACGGTCTCACCTCCACTTCTCCCAGAAGTATAGTGATACCATTTGGCCTTTAGACARAAGGATATTCAGCTGGATGGGAAAAGTTTGAGTCCAACCCCCAAAAAATGTGAGGTCAGACTTTCCTGTSTTATGCCCTTTCTTTCAATTACTCACAGGTGTCCTGGAGCAGATGGGTCTGAGGGGAAAGACCCCTTTCCTGGTGTGTTTAGACACGTCACTGGTGCTACCCTCCAATTCTTCCTTAAATTAATTGTTTGTCTGGCCTGGAGAGGGTTTTATGAGTCAAGTAAYGCTGGAAAAAATATTCTGGGCAGAATGGCAGAACAGGAGAAAAGAACCTATAGCTGAGAGCAGTAGTAAATGCACCATCTGTGACCAGGCACAGAGAACACGTAACATGTGCTGAGTAGTCATTATGTACATGTTTAATTCTCACATTAAGCCAGGAGTTCTCTTAATGACAGAGTCCTAATTTCCTACCAATTTACCTTCTGTATCTCTGCCTGACACTGCAGCACCAGCTCCTTCTTGCACTGTGATTCTCTAAGAAACCACATCACAATGTACCAACAGCAAAGCTCAGTGCTGGCCCTTACTGGATGGAATGGGGATTGGSATTAAAATAAAATTAATTTTGCAGTGGCACGGAGGACAGATACTGGACAAGCTGTCMTTGCTGCCTGAGGATGAGCTTCTATCCCTCCCTCTACCCCACCCCTGAGGTCTCCTGTCCTACCTCTCAGTGTCTTTCTCATCCACCTGGTTATTTCATGCCCTTGTTCTGCAGCTCTAACTCCTCAGGATGGCATTTCAAGGCAGGTCAGAGCTCAGGTCAAGACTGAGAGCCAGGGGTGAGGATATTGGCTTACTGGGAGCAAAAGCAGAGGTGAAAGAATGCCCTGGCAAGCAGCATTGGACTTTGAGGACAAGAAGCTTTTCACACACAGATAAAAAGAATCACATGGGAAAGTTGAAACCGGGCATCTATAAAGTTTTCCTCTCTCCTTCCTATGAGCCCAGGTTGTTTCTTTTAAATGTGGTCTCTGGCCAGCAATTCCTTTCTTACCTGGGACTTAACAGTGAAGCAGGGATTTGTCCCCCTACAAGCAGTGTCACTACCAAAGCTGCCTCCCTGMACCTCCTGGCCCTGGGGCATCCCACTGCTGCTGGCCCTTGTGTCACCCCCAGTGCTCCAATGATCAAAGCACAGCAATGAGACAACCTCTGACCACAAGCACAGCAGGCATGCTCAGCTGCTGCCTTCCTGCAGTGACACTGGAAAATAGAGACAGGCATGAAACAGCCAAACAGAGCAGCAAAGATTGGGCTGTGTAGGGAAGCAGCACTGACTTTACACATTTCATAGAATCACAGAATGTTTTAGRTTTAGAAAGGGACATTTAAATATCATCTCATTTCAATGTTTCTGCCATGGGTAGGGGCCTCTTCCATTAGACCAGGCTTCTCCAAGACCCATCCAACCCAGCCTTGAATTTTAAGGTTGGGGCAGCCAGGGCTTCTTTGCACCAATGCCTCACCACCCTCCCCATAGAGGATTTCTTMCTCATGTGCAACCTAAATCTACATTTTTTTTTTCATTTTAAAACCATTGTCCCTTATCTTTGCACTGACAGTTTCTCTTTTTTTATAAGTCCTCTTAAAGTTTGGAAAGGCTRCAGTAAGGAAGAAGCCTTCTTTTCTCCGTGCTGAGCAGCTCCAACTCCCTCAGCCTGTCTCCATGGCAAAGGTGCTCCAGCTCTCTGATCACCTCTGTGGCCTCCTCTGAACTCACTCCAATAGGTCCATGTTTCCAGTGCTGAGGACCCCAGAACTGATGCTCTCAGTGGCGTCTCACAAAGACATGGAGGCAGAATCCCCTCCCTTGCCCTGATGTACCACTGCTTTGGATGGAGCCCGGGATACAACTGGCTTTCTGGGCTGCAAATGCACATTGCTGGGTCATGTTCAATTTTTATCCCACCAGTATTGCTAAGTCATTCCCACAGGGCTGGTCGCTGCTCCTCACCTGCCACCCAGAGGAGCTGGAAGGACAGCAGGGCGCAAGCCTGAAAAAGAGACAGGAGAAAGAGTTTATTCCTCGGCAAAACCTGCAGAGCAGAGCTGAGTCCGGCGTTGCTTATCAGGAAAAGCGAGGAATGTCGAGGGGCTACCGTCCCTGAGAGAAGCCCAGGGAGACAGAGAGTGGCTGAACGTCCCCAGACCGCGCTGTCGCTGAGGTCGTCCCAGAGAACAGTAGCATCTCTCATCCCCGCCACGGGGATCCCTTGTGTCCCAACATGGGACCCCTCTCGGGACCTTGGAGCATCCTTTCCCCCACTCGCGGACATCCACGCCCACATGTCCCGCGGGGACCCGACTCATCACATGAGGAACTACATTTCCCAAAGGCCTCTGCGCCGAGGCGGCGGAAGGGGCGGGCTGAGCTGCGCATTCTGTTCCGATTGGCTGGCGGGGGCAGTCCGAGCGACCATTGGCTGGCGGGCGGTCACGTGGGGCGGCATTGGTGCGCCGATTCACGTGGGCCCGTGCGGGAGCGGAGAGGAGAGGGGGCGGCGGGCTCGGGCCGGGGGTCCGGGGGAGCGGGTCCGCCGGGGCTCGTCATGCTGGGGGCCCGGGGCGGGTGGCAGGCCCTCCGCCGCTGTGCCTCCCTGCCGCGGGCCGTGCGGCTGCGGGTGCGCGAGGCGCTGGGGGCGCGGGAGCCGGCGGACGCGGTCAGAGTGCAGGTGTGTGCCCGGGGTGTGCCCGGCCCGGAGACGGAGGGAGGGCCTGGAGGGGTGCGGCCCACGCCCGTGCTTCAGGGAGGGAAATGTGGGAGCCCAGCAGAGCTGGCACTGGACTCCCAGATCTCTTTGTGCACTCGTGCAGAGCCTCCCCGTATGATCTCTGGCTGTGTGCTCAGTTCGCTGTTGTTGGAGACAGCGAAGCTTTGGAATCGCTAGGCACATGCAGAGAAGTGCTGTCAGTGTGATGGGTTGTGCTGAATGTGCTCTCCACAGCGTTGGCTTTATCACCTGTTCTGTTCCGGAGAGCGAGCCGTTGCCTCTGTGCTGTTGTTTCATAGATCTTGTGTCRCGTACATCCTGCTTTAGAGCAGTGTGCTTAGAACCATCGATAACACTGACACTGACATTTGCATTCGGTTCTTGTTGTGAACAAAGGTAGCCTGGRATTAATGGGCTTTTCAGCTATGGAGTGCTTTTCCGTGCTGTAGGATTGTGTATTCCCCTGGTTTCTGGTATTTCAAACTCGCAGAGCAGAGGTTGCACACACACAATCCCTGTTTGAATGGAGAACTGTGCAGTTGTCAGTATTTCTGGATGAATGTGAAAAGGACTGGGGTACTTGGTAACAATTTTAAACAAAGCTGAAATAGGATAGATTTAGTTTTATAAGAAAGAAATTTCTTATAAAGAGTGATAAGGCATTGGCACACGTTGCCTAGACAAGATGTAGCTACCCCATCCCTGGAAGCATTCAGGATGGGGCTTGGAGCAGCCTGGTCTAGTGGAAGCTGTCCCTACCCATGACAGCGAGGTTAACTAGGTGACCTTTAAGGTCCCTTTTAATTCAAGTCTTTCTATGATTCTGCTGACCCCAGAACAAGGTTGTAGCACTGCTATTCCTGCTCACACGTAGGTGAAGCCTAATCGGGTAGGAAGAAGCTCATCCAGTATAGGTTCTTTTCAGATATAGTTTGATGAATAACAAGCTGGAATAAACTTACGCTAAAATTTGCAATACTGCTATTCCTCTCCCTTCCCTGTCCTCCAGACCCTTGCTGCTTTGCTCTTCTTCTGTGGTGGCAAAATGCGGGGGTTTTGTATTAAAATGGGCTAGGAATCTGGTCTGGTTTAAATCTGACCTTATTATGGCCAGGTTGTTGGAATGTGCAATCTAGTCAGAGTTAGGATTGTCACTTTCATTGCTCATTCATTCTGGTAAAGTGTGAAGTGGTCAAAACATTGCTGCAGCAGCAATGTTACTAATTTAATTCTTTTCATGACGTGGGGCGGCAGGAGGTGTCGTAGGAGGTACTAATTTAATTCTTTTCATGAAACTGGACAAAGTATTTTTAAATTTTTTTCTTAATATCTTTTTTTTTTTTCCCATGGGCACAGTGAAGCAGTGTTTATTTTGAGGTGTAAGGAGAAACATCCAAGGCAGTAATTGTATTTTTGTTCTGCATGAATACGTAGTTTTTCACATGAATCTGTTGGCTTGATCATTGTTTTAGTAGTCCAGCAGTTCAGGGCACGTTAACAGCTAGTGAAAAGATTTGAAGATTTGAAAGATTGGAACCTTTCTACAGGAATACAGCAACAAAATTGAGCCAAAAAGAACAGTCKTGAGTCTATTGTAATGAAGAACAGTRCATTACTGGTTTCTCCTGTTTTAGWAAGAAGAGTTTGGAAGGGACATCACTAATAAGAATGTGTACTTTGCCAAAACACAACTTCAAAGTACTTTATTGCTTTCTGTATTCTCATCTCCCCAAAGATGCAGGTACATMTTGTTCATCCTTGCTGTACTCAGGAAGAGACTGCCTCAGAAGGATGTCTCTGCCTAAGGATTTGTTCGTCTCTGCTTTGAAGTCTGCAGAAGAACTTAACGCTGACTTTTCTTCTCTTTTATTTTTTATTACTATTAATTTTTGCCTCTAAAGAAACAGTTACTTTGGTTTCAGGAAGAAGCTGAAATAGGCCTGAAGTGGTGTGTCCATCTCAGCTGGAAGAAGAGCATGACTACACAGCATTCCTGTCAAGCAATACCAGATCTCTTTTTCTTTTACTTCTAGGGCTGGGTCCGCTCTGTCCGATCCCAGAAGGAAGTTCTGTTCCTGCACATAAATGATGGGAGTTCTCTGGAAAACCTCCAGGTGGTTGCTGATCCTAGCCTGGAAAAGAGGTTGGTCTGTTTGAAATAACTGGAGAAATACACGTGTTGAGCAGTGCTTTGAGGACTCTGCTCAGGCCTCCTTTCCTGTGCCAGGGACTCACCAGCCTCTGGCGCCTGCCCTGAYAGGAAAGGCACTACCACAGTCTGTGGTCTATGGATGCACCTTTAGGAAGGGAGAGTGTCAGACTACTCTGTCTGCAGTTAGGTGAGGCCCTGTGGATCTCTTGATTAATCCTAGGAGATTAATTTGGACCTTATTTTCTTAGTAGTTGTAGCACTGCTGTTTTTGGAATTGCTGTTGGAATTGCTTGGAAATCACACAAGGTAGCCAGGGAAAACTGTCGCCTTCTGGAAGGTGCTGTTGCTCTTTGTGAAACAACTGAARGGCTGGCACAGTAGGCATAACCCCTGGGTAGGCATGTTTGTTCTATTATAATAAAATAATGCTCTTGTTTTTTGTTCGTTACTCTCAGTTGTTCATTAGGCTAAGGTTGGGAGTTTTGGGATGATCCAGGAACCTTCTGTGTGTAACTGGACTTATAAAAGATTTTTAAMCCTCATTTGTCCCTGCCTATAAACCTCATTTGTCCCTACCAARAGCCCTTTCTAATAAAAACGTGACACTTTTCCCCTCACTTGTCCAACATTCCTGCCTTGTCCTAAATTCCTCTATAGCTTTGTGAATCTTCACATTCCCACCTCTTCATTTAATAACTTTTCATCAGTTAAKCTCTGTGGCTACAGCATCTCCTGTGATCTCAAGTGATCCAGCTAAATTGACAGGAATCTCCCTTCTGAATGTAGTGGTATCAGCACCTAGTTAAGCTTGTTTTTTTTCTTGGTTTCTTAGAGACCTGACTTTTGGAAGCGCAGTGGAAGTGCAAGGGAAGCTTGTCAAAAGTCCTCACAAGATGCAAAACATGGAGCTGCAGGCTGAAACCATTCATGTAGTGGGACCTTGTGATATTTGGGTATGTCACTGCAGCAGGAGGGGTAGGACTGCTGGAAATGGATTTTCAAAGGTCCAAGTATCCAGCAGAGCATGCTTGAAACTGTTTTTTCTGAGTGGTCCTGCAGACTTCGATTTGTCAGCAGTGTCTGTCGGGTGCATCAAAGGAGAAACATGGGATCACCATGAAAGCTCATTTCTGGGATAGAGTCATTTCTCCATGGAAAATATGCACAGGCTGACAGTCAAGAGTTTGCCTTTGTCCCACCCTGAAGCACTTACCTGTGCAGGTGGATTACCTGGTAATTTTGGCTGGGTTATGAATTGGAGAAACAGTGCAACTGGCAAGACACTCCAGGTTGTGCAGCTGCAAGAGCCGTATCTGCCACAGGCACATTCAGAAGCAGCTTGCTTGTTGTAGCAGTGAGGTGAACAGCTGGATTTCAGGGGGCTCAACATCCAAAAGGTGGAGCATTTTAGAGTGCTAGTACCTTCTTTTGTGTTCATGGCTCTTGCCCTGCTGTAATCATTATAAAATTCATAAAATAAMCAGAAAAGATAGTCAAAAGCATCTAGTTCTTCTGTGCTCTGTAATGGTGCTTGAGTTTTAGCAGAGATGGCATTCTGTGAATAGCAATAAAACCGCATTGATTCCCAAGTTCTCATCCTCTTATTTTGATTTCCTTGTGTTTCCAGTCATTTCCCCTGAAGATGAAGGAGAGRCACCCACTGGAGTATGTCCGACAGTTCCCTCACCTGCGGTGCAGGAACAACACCCTGGGCTCCCTCCTGCGAATCCGCAGTGAAGCCACTGCAGGCATCCATTCCTTCTTCCAGGTAGTCCCTTCTGTACCAAGCCTCATGTGTGGAGCCCCCCAGGCTGGCTTTAGGGAGCAGGTTAGGAGGGAAAGAGTAGGACATCTTGCCTGCAGGGCATGGATTTTAGACACGGTGGTTTTCTTTCCAGGCCTGGGCCTGGCTGGGCCTTGGCCAGACTGTTCCTTGTGCTCAGGCAGAGTCTTTCCACCTATTTCATGTTATTTATCCCTTTCACTGAGTTGCAGTGTAACTGCCTGCAAGTGTGTGGTCTCTGGAACACARCATAATGTGGACTTGTTTAACCATCCTCTGCAGTGACCTTACGGTCCYTGGACAGAAACCTCCTCCCACGTAGAAAAATCTGTGATACAGGAGCACAAACTGACTCAGAGTTTCWTGTTATTCTCAGCTCTTGCCTTTCTCATATTGCAGTACAAATTTCTGTGGATGCTGAGATCAGTTGAGATTCAGTTAATCAGTTGAGACTGAGTTAATCTCAGTTGAGATTAGTTGAGATCAGGAGACTCCTGATGCATTTCGAACTGATGGATGGGAGCCACCTGTGTTTTCTGAATGTGTCACTCAAGCTGTGRGCACAGCACAGGCTTTGTGCAGGCAAGGGACTAGTGAATCGACTCTGATGCCAGATGCCCCATAGAGGCCATGCAATTCTTTGTGTGAGTAGAGAAAGAGAGGTAGCAAGTCCTCTAACGCACCTGGGCTCTTCTTTAAAACTCTTCCTAGAAATAAACATGTTTTAGTTAAGATAAGATGGCTTTTGTTTGAGTAAAATCATGTCCAGAACATTCTGATGACAAAGCTCATATTTAGTAATTAGTGCTGCCCAAGGAACAGGTTAGAAACATCAAGATGAATTTCTGGTTCCAAGTTTGCTGCTCTTTATTGCTTGTAGTTGCAAAGAGGGCTTGCTTGCTCTAAGAATTGTATTGTCTGTGTGCAACTGCATGGTAATTGGATGAGTTTTGTTGGGGTGTTTTTTGTGGGTTTTTTGTTTAATTTTGTTTTTGTTTTTTTTAAGAGCCTATTAGAAGKCCTGTGTCAGGTAAAGCTGCTGGTTTCGGGATTGTGCCTGCTCCTRAGAGAGAAGCCAGCTTTTTGGGCATCAGTCTGTGCAGGTGTGGAGCCACTAGATGGCACTGCCTACAACGATTTGTGCTTCCAAACCTGGACATGGAAGGCAGCTGAGMTACAAAAACCATCTTATTCAGGCGTTGCTTCTCTAAATCAACTCCTGCTCAGGCTCTGACATACCTTTCTGTTAACAATGGTCAAGAACAGACCTGTATTAAGAAGTAGAATGTATCATCAATTCAGCAGCAGTAGCTACACTAAAGTTATTTTAAAAGTAATGAGGTCTAAGGAATAAGATTTGATCCCAGACCTGATATTTACAAATGCTTATATGAGAACTCTCCTAGCACCAGGAATGTGTGCAATTTGCTCCATTTCTAATGGAAGGAATTCTTCTAAAATTGCCAGCTGCCTTATCCCAAGAATATTGCAATTTCCAGTTTGAYAGTGTCAGAACATACCATAGCTAAAAAGTATAATTGGAGCATTTTAACTCTGCAAAGCTGTAAGGAGCTTAATGGCGGAAGAAAATAAGTGGAGCTTTTTGAATACACACTCAAAATTATCAAGACTCTCTGTAACTTTAAAAACCTCTCTTTTCAGCCTGTTCATTTCCAGAAATAAATGACTAATGCTAAATGCCTTTGGTTTGCATGTGAGAGCTAAAATGTCCTCTTTAAGTCTTCTCCTGAGTATTGTGGTCCATATGGGATAGGAACATTGTTCCTATGCACAGTAAGATAGTTGCATTGTGAATGGCAGCTTCCACTTTGCACATTAAGTTCCAGGTTTGTCAGAACCAGTAATGCAATTTGAATTATTTTAGAAGCTTTTATAAGGGGAATTATCCAACAGGTTTTTAGGGAATTCTCTTATTTCGGATCTGTGCAGTTTGCATTCCTTTCCAAAGCATGTAAGGGCTCTTCTGTGTGGAATGTGCTTCTTTACAGCAACTGCTATCTCTGTATGAAGAATCGAGGCAATTTTCCAAAATCTATTGTGGAGCTGGGAGGCCATGTAACCGGCAGATCTCTGAATATGCAAAGGATTGTGTCAGACCTGAGTTTTGTATCGGTAGACAGAAACTTCCTACTCCAGGCAAAGCAAGTAGTTCTGGATCCAAAACTCCCATCTATGCAGTGGCTGGATCCCAGTGAGGAGCCAGGGTCTTTGCACCTGTAACCAAGGTAGCCTAGAGCTGACTGCAAAGACTTTTCTCCCTCTTGGTTGTGTACTGTACTCCCACAAAATGCATTGCATGTCCATATGAGCTTTTTGTCCCAAATTAATTTTGGTTTGATTCTCAGAGTGGACAGTAAATACTACTCCTGTTTTCCTAGCCCTTTAACTAGCTGGTGATAAAGACCAGTACCTCTCATGTGACTGAATTGCATTATTTTGGTAAAAGTTGTGAAGCTAAGATGTATCCATCTGCTGAATATTGGGTTGGAGCTGTTTTAAAAGCCTACAGCTGCACTGCAGAGAAGTCCATAGAACAGGGATTCTTTCTTCGTTCAGCCTTCCTCGTTTTGGAGGCCTCTGCTGGATTTATGAACTATTACCTAAATGTGTAATTCTGCAGGTACTTAGAGCATGATCAATTGTGCCAAATGAGTGTGCTTGAAATCGCCAGGGTATACCCTGTCTCTTAAAATCAGTTTGACTTCAGTATCTCAGAAGATGCAAGGTAGGACTGACACTTTGATCGTGGTTGGATGGTTTTAGGTGTCTCTTTCATCCAGTGTGTGATTTCTGTCATCCAGCACATTTGATCACTTCTTTTAGTGAAGAATACTAAGAGTGTCCTTCGCTTAACCACTGCCTTCCAAAAAGCTGAAAGAAACAAAGTGTTGAGGTTGTAGGGGTGAATTTGATTGACACTGCCCAAAAATGCTGGAGGGAGTCAGAAGAAAAGGGAATGGTGTGGAAACAAGCCATTGGAAAAAAAAAACTGATAGTAATGACATAAATCTCCTTTGGTTATGAAACGTGGAGGAAAATGCACAGGTAGTAAACATGGTTTGTAAATCATTGTAAATCATGCTAGCATTCAGTTTGTCATCTGTCCCTGTGAGACAGAAGCTGCCTAAAAGACTACATGTGCTGTCTTGGGTGGGGGCTAATGGCCATTCTTGAGGGTGATATTTGATATCTTTMGACTATAAACTTTGGTGTTCTGTCTGTTCCAGGATAATGGATATGTGCATATTCATACTCCGATAATTACATCCAATGACTGTGAAGGTGCTGGGGAGCTCTTTCAAATTGAGGTAAGTTGGGTTGCATAAAGTTTGTTTTGATTTTTTTTTTCAAAGCAGTTCTTTTGCTTTGTTATTGAAGGTTAGAAGAAATGTTTATGAACCCTTTTATGTACTTCTGTGATTAGTTTTTTAATATAGCAATCCTTTGCTTCAAYTAGTAATTTAGTAAGCAGATGCATTATCTTTTTTTTATTTTGTTGCTATTTAGTGCATTAATCAGCACCTTTTGTACTGATGAGGTTGTTCTATCCCTGGTGCTGTGCAAAAATTTACGAAGAACAGCAGAGGGAGGTGGAACATCTTAGTAAACAGACTGATGTGATCATAAGAGCCCAAGAGATGGGATGGGTCATTCAGGACAGCCTCAAATATTTCTTAGCTTTGAAACAAAGAATGTAATTCACCATGAGATAATCCTTAAAAAATAAGTCAGCAGTACCTGAAACTCCTTTTCACCTGTGTGTGTATACAGGTTCCTCCCTTCAAGCTACTCTGTTGTATGTCAGAATTCTCCCCCAATATGTCAARCCTCCCCATAACCACCCCAAATTATTGCCACAATCTGTCATGATAAGAAGTACTTCACATCATGGGTCAGAACGTCCTGTGAAACTGAAACACAGCCATAACCACTAAAATCTTCCGATTTCTCATGATTTCTGACCCCACATTCATGAATCATACGGAATTCCATCTGCGTTTTATACTTCTATATTTGTAGCTCACTCTTCTGTCTCAAACAGTGGCATCCATTGCCACTTGTGCTTATTGGCTCCAGCTTTGCTGGTGATTCATCTGCAAGCAAAAGACAAATTGTTGAGGTAGCACTTACTTGCTGTGGGATCGTGGGATCGTATCTTCCACTCTGCACAGCCTCATGACAGAAAAAGCTTCTGTCTACTCGTTCTTCAGGATCTCAAGATCTAACCTGTGCTACCAATGATTCCCTTCCAGACCGGTACACRTGGCTCAGCTTTTTGCTTGCTGGGACAATAAGGTTGATTAGCTAAACTAAATTGTTCCTGTTTAATTGAGATGCCTTAATGCTACCCAAGGTTCATTCCAGGCTGTTGCATGCAAATTAAGATGTGAAAACAAGTGACACTTAATGATGGCAACATTATGCAGTTTGCAGCTGTACCGTGTATTGCGTCTTTGGTACAAATTGTATCCACTTGAAAACTGTAGAGGATGCAGGACTACAGCGTAGGTGGCTGGTAGTGACAGAAGCCCTGATGCAAATGTTGAATGAGGTACTAAACTGTGAGTGTGAAACTTGTATAAACTGGATCTTATCTAAATGCATGGTTCCAGGCAAATACTTTGCTCCTCTCCAGTGGGGATTTCTGAGGTGCAAATAATACCTGTCTTGAAGAAATGTAGCTACAGCTGTRCTTGAAAGGTGTGCTGTAAGTGCCAAGTCAGAGCCCATTAAGTGACCTGTGCCACAAAGAAAGAGCTTCACAGACCCATTTGCTGGGAAGGAGGAAGTTCTCCCTGGTTTCCTGTTTCTTCTTTGAGTACTGCTTCATTGTCAGGCCTAATTTAGGACTTAGTTCTGTTTCTGCAAAGCCCTGTTCAGAATTGGTCTGGCTAGCAGAGATCTAAGATCACCTGCTACCCTCCTGGGACCACTTCACTCCACTGGAGTAGTGACAMTGTTTTTTGACAGTGAAAACGTGGCGAAGATTAAGGCTGCCTTGGGCTGTGCATGTGAGGCTGTCAGACATAAAGAGTGACAGAAGGGTGTCAGACATAATAATAAGGGTGTGGTATTTGCAGTAGAGCCCAGAATCTTCATGTGCTTTTAACCAAACCAACTCTCAAGACAATCCAGTCTGCWGTATTCAGTCACTTTTTAAACTAGCCTTTAATTCAGTGTTTGAACAGGCCAAGGGAGAAAMTAAATTCCTCTTGTATTTGTGCCGGAGCCAAGAATTCTGGTGATTGGAATTGATGAAATTCAAATGGAATCTTCAAATTAGAGTCTTCATTTTCAAAATATATTTAGATGCTGTTCCTTAAGTTTTAAGACCTGTCTTCTAGCTGCAAATTGGTGTCCKATTGCTCCTGAATTTGTAGTAGTTATGTCTACTTATTAACAGATTGTTAACAGATTGGCTTTTTCTGCCTTTTGGGTTTTTTGTTTTTTTTAACTAATAGTCTCACCAGTTTAGCTGACCTGCCGCAGGTGCTGTAAGTTGCAAACTTTAGTGGAATAGCCTTTAAGTCCCAAGTAGAGGCTGCTTTTGCACCCACTGTGAACTATTGCCTTTAAATAGCTATTTTCTCTGACTGGCACAGTTTTAATCCTCTGACTAATGTCTGATGGCTGCTCTGATCCATGCATTCTTTGGAAATGATGGAAAGTGAAGAGAGTGGGAATRTGTTTTTACATGTGACTTGAAAAGATGGGCAAAAATGTATCTGAAGTTAGAATGAAAAGGCTTTTTGAAATATGGTCTTTGATTCCTAAATCTCTTAATCCTGTAGGATTTRTGTTTGTTTATATGTTCAGCTTCCTCATTATCTTTGTTTGGTTTTGGGTGTACTGCTTAGTCTGTACATAGCTTTGGCTGGGATGCTCACATACTAGGGGTGGGGGAGAATCCATTCTCTCTCTCTGGGCAAATCAGTTCAAATAAGCATTTTTAAAATGAAGTACCATAATGGTGAAAAGAGTGCAGTAAGCAGAGGATGTTTTAAAAAATAAGTCATAAGATGGTAGCAACTCCAGAGAAAACGTCTGAAAAGTGTAGCTTTGTGGAGAAACTGCCAGAACTGTGAAAATACAACTAGGCAGATCTTAACCCACATGGAGAACATCAGCAACACCAGCTTGTGGATTTCTGCACTGTTGGCAGTGTTTTCCTTGGGTGGAAGCATGTAGGGAGGAAGCATCTTGTTTTTGCTTCTTTCTTTAAAGTAAATTTATTGAGAACACTGGGAGAGCTTTGACTGTTGAGAAAGTGGTGTTTCTGTATCATCCAAAGCAGGACAGAGTAGTTCTTGACATAGGGAAAATGCAGATCAGCAAGGGCAGATAGCCCTCGTGATTTTATTTTAACCTGAAAATAATTTCTCTATACCAGAAAGTTTAGCATCTCCACCTCAGCACAGGTTCTTTCCTTGTGCTTTTTTTTTCCTTTTATCTTCTGAAGTCTAAAATTCTTAGCAGCTTTGTATGTTACAAGGAACTTTACCCAGTCCCCTTCTTGGGCTGCATCTTCAGAAATCTGCCTTACCCTTGTCCTTGTGACCCAGCTGCATGTCTGTTCCTTACTATTTTCAGTAGCCTCCCACTCTGTCTGCAGTTTTGAAGGCTCTGTGCTTTCTGAGTCTCTTGCTCTCTTTTCCACTGTCTCCCTGGAAAATCTTCTTTGTATGGCCACCCTCAGCTGCCRTGGAGAAGGTAGAGGCTGCTCTGTAAGAGCCTGTCTGGCGCAGGACACTGCAGCTGGTTCAATGCGGGGTCCACAGCTGCTTCCTCTATTGCCAAGCTGCAGCCTTYTAAGAGAACTTGGCGTGCAGTGAATTCCAAAGCACARCAGCTGTATCAYRCATTCACAGCTCCTTAAAGTAGATMTCAATTTTTCTTGTCTGTGGCCTTACTCCTTCCTGGGACCACTCTCTACGTGTAAGGAGTGCTGCACTCTACTTGTCAGCTCCGTCAGAGGTAAAATGTGCTCTGTGTGAGGCTTGTCTCTTCCCACACACACACCTCGTAGCGTGTGGATACTGTTTGGCTGAACCCAGCATCTGGATCAGGCCATTTCATTACCTGAAAGGATATTTATCTGTAAACCTGAAGAGCTATCCAGGTATAGTTCTTCTCTAAAGTGCTTCTGGAGATTGTATAGTGTTGGGCTTGTGGGGATTTTTTGCCCCTTACTCACGGGAGTGAATGTCAAAGTTTTTAGATTCCCGAAGGTGCAAGTTTATGGCTGTGCCAGCTGTGGCACCAGAAATATGTACCTGCTGCTGAAGATACAGAAACTTACTCCTACCCTCCCTTTGGTGCTACTAAAAAATGTCCTTGTCAGCACCAGCTGGGATCTGCTGGGAGAATCATAGTGAAATTCAACAGTATTAGTGTGTGTCAGGTGTTTTCCCTTTTGGAGATGTGTGACAGCCTGGGWGGCAGCCAGTCCCTCAGAGACTGGGACTTCAGAGATGTGCTCAGCAGGGATCAGGGTAAGCTGGACCTGAGATGAGGGAGGGCTTGCTTTTTCATGTTCTAGCTCTCCCAGTTTCTGCTCGTTTGTACCTGATTCATATCCGCCTGTCCAGCCCGTATTTATGAGATGTTATTCATTCCAGCACATATTTATGAGATGTTTGTCTCAGCAGAACCAGCTGTTATTGCTCAGTGTAAGTCCAGCTGATCAGAATTAGGACTGGAATTGCAAGGAGGACTTCTTGGAAATMAGGAATTGTGCTGGGGTTGTCTAAAAAGGAACATCCCATCATATTTATAATAGGGTGTCACAGAGGGCAAATCTGGATTAAAAATGTGTTGCTGGGAAACTGCAGCAGCGTGGTGGTATGGGCCTTGACTGGAGTTACAGCAATGATTTCTATGAGCTTTTCAAGTCTCCTCTGATCCTTTCATGCTTTTGGCTTTCACAGAATGTAAGACAGAATCAAATGGTTTGTACTCTCCTGAAGCTAATTGCCTCAAGGAAAAGTTAATACAAGACTGACATCAAAGGGAATAATTTTAAATTAAATCATTAGACATTTGAGGAGATGGAGAACAAAACAGGTACTAAATCCAGTTGTTCTTGTATTTAGAATGAGAATAAAAGCCTTTGAAGTTAATGTCAAATACTAGTATGTTTATAGCACATTTACTCTGAGACACCAAAATGTTTCATACAGATTCCCCCTCCCTCTTCCCCCACTGTAATTTAGGTAGTTTTCGACTGTGGAATGAAGAGATCTTAAAAGAAAACGCATAATTCCCCTCCTAATCTTTTATCAAGTCCAAATTTTGGRGGTGGGAAGTGAGAGAAGCATCCCCTAAGTCAAGTAAAAGCACCACAGCATTGTTGCTTCATTTTGCTAGTCAWGGACATGAAAACCAATCTCACCCAGTGCCAGAGTGAAGGGGTAGTGTCTCCTACCATATATTTGTCTTGGGGCTATAGTTGCATATAATAAAGAAGCCAGCTTGACCTAAAAGGCTCAGCATGAATCTGGGGCACTGGCACTTGGGAATATTGGCCTGTGCTTGAATGTATAAAGTGGAGGAAGCACCTCCAGTGGACTAGCTACTRTTTGTACATGTGAAAAGGGCAGCTGCTAATTACAGAATCTCCCCTTGCTGAAGGGATCCCTTCTGAGCAAAAAAGAAGGCTGCAGGTTTTCAGAAGCCCGGTTCAGAAGTAGATTGTCTCACTTTCTCCAGTCACTTACTGTGTTTCTATTTTTCCTGTGTCTCTGAGATCTGATTTGGAGAATGAAAAATGACACAGTCATTATAAACAAACCAAGCCCCAGCTCCTAGAGACAGCTGTATCCTGTTTGTGGATTTGGGGGGAAGCGTTGAGATTTTGTGGCTGATTTCTTGTTCTTTTCTTGCTTCCAGTTTGTCCCTTTCTTATTGTTGAGCATCCTACAAGGTTAGGTGGGATTTKTCACTTGTGAAACAAGGAATATAGCTGAACTAAGCTGCAGGAAAAGAGAAACCAGMGGTACATGGCTCTTCTCTTTAGTGTTCTGGCCATAGTTTTGGGGCTGCAGTATGTGAATGTTTGATGTTTATTAATATCCTTACTGTTTTTGAGCAAATGCTCTGGGTTTATTTGATAAAAACAATAGGGGCCTTCTTCTGAATCCTTGGAGTTTGGTATTTGGTTTTTTTAGAACCACAAAACCTCTGAAACAAAGGAAGCAGTCCTGGAATTACAGCCACAAATTGTCATATTTTCATTGATCTCTATGGAACAAGGCAAGCTTGCTCTTTTCTTTAGTGTGATGCTGTGAAGAGATTAAACTACCTTGTGATCTGAGGTTTTTGGAAGTCACTGTTTTATCTTGGTGATAAGCAGCAGAGAACACAAGCAGCACCTTCAAACTTATTGAGAAAAATGGCAGGTTGTAGGCTATCAAAGGCTGGCAAACAAGGCTCCCTGTGACAGAGCAAGTTGGGGTGGCTGGAGGCAGTGGCATACTTAGCTGAGCTAGCAATACTTAGTATAACTCCTAGGAACTACACTTTGAAAAGTGGGTATTTCAAACTTATTTCAGAAGAAGGTCTTCGTTTGGAAATGAACATAGATCAGCCAGACCTCAGATTAGCTTTGAAGTTCTGTTCTGTTTTTCTCCTGAACCTTTGGCTCCCCCAAAGCTTAGGGATGACATTGAAGTATGCAAGATGTTGAAACAAAATCTCATTTATCTTCAYGTTTCTTTAAAAGTCACAGAGTTGTGACCTCTAGAGATCATGTAATCCATCTCACTGTGCTCAAACAGGGTCAGTTGGAGCAAGTTGCCCAGTACTCTGCTGCTGAGTTTTTTATATCTCCCCAGATGGAGATTTTACAGCCTCTCTGGACAACCTGTTCTAGTGCTTGACACCCTCARTAAATATTAAAGGTTATTCTTGTTTTCAGTTGAATTTTTGTGTGTCCTTTTTAAAATCTGTGCCCATTGTCTCTTGGGACGTTTTTTTTTTTATGTATTTCATAATGGAACACTGAACTTGCTAAATTTTCCATTACTTGTAGATTTTTATGCTTAAAGTATCTGATGACCTGAAAAAAAATATGCAAAAGCTGGAATGAAGCAGTTATTTTTTAGTGCCTGTACAATATGTTTCTGTGGATACAATATGGAGCTGTGGTGTCTTCAACTTAATATTGTTTCAGTTGTGTTATTTTTGAAGACTGAATAACAAGCCTTAAGAGGATATTGCATTCTTTTTTTATTACTGTTTATCTTTTTCCAATGGAAACAAATTCATTTACCCATGAAAAGAAAATAACACTGGTGTTAAAGTTTTTTCTGAAAGTCAGTGGGACTGCCACAGAAAGCACTCCTCCGTTTTCTCATGAGGCTTGAAATTGAATTTTGAAGGCAATGCTGTATGAAGCTTCAAACTACAAATGATRGAGATTCCTCCTTTCCTCCTCTCTGTTCATCTTGGTAGGGAAGTGAAAATCAATGCTTTGAAAAGTGGGAAAATAAGCTGGGTGCTGTGCTTTTTATTTAAACACCAGTATTCTGACTTGTTGCTCATTTTTTTACTTACAGACATCAAGTGAGGCAAAGGAATCCGCAGAAAAGACTCATTTCTTCAATGTGCCTGCCTTCCTGACAGTTTCTGGCCAGCTCCATTTGGAAGTAATGGCAGGGTGAGCAAAATGAGATGTTTTTGTCTTTGTGTGCAGGATATTCCTAACTGGTAATTTTGCCCCTTTGGTATCCATTAGCTATCTGCCAGAAATGGACTGAGTGGCAGTGACTGGATGATGGGGTGTGAGAAGCCAGCCYAGACAAAGGGCTGGAGCACCTCTTGTGTGGACACAGTCTGAGAGACCTGGGATTGTTCAATCTGGAGAAGGCTCTGAGGACACCTTAGAGCCCGTTCCAGTACCTAAAAGTAGATTTGAGAAGGGACTTTGGACAAGGACATAGAGTGACAGGACGAAGAGAGTAGGCTTCAGATGGAAAAAGGAAGGGTTTAAAGTATATATTGGGAAGAAATTTTTTACTTGAGGGTGGTGAGACACTGGGACAGGTTTCCCAGAGAAGCTGTGGCTGCCCCATCCTTGGATGTGTTCAAGGCCAGGTCAGATGGGGCTCTGAGCAGCCTGGGATAGTGAAAGGTGTCCCTGGCCATGGCAGAGGGGTTGGAACAACATTGTCTTTGGGGTCACTTCCAACCCAAACCATTCAATGATTCTATGCTCTGGAGGGTCTCACAGCATCTAGAGAGTTAATGCTGTGTGAGGTCTCACCACAATGCTTTGGCATCTAGAAGAGCTTCATTTATTTTTGAAGATTGAAGGRATTCAATACCACTTGAGCTGCAGGCCTCAAAAACTCAGTGTACTTAAATAGAGGAGCAGGTTCCCAGAACAGCTATGCTCCATTATGAATAAACACAGCTTATCTAAAWTTAGATGGCCCTGGATTCTTTTAAAATGCCTGTAAGAACAACACACTACTGTAAAATAGAAACACAAAGCTGTAATGTACTGCATGCTGAAGAGCACTGATTTTTTTATTTATCCATCCTTAAGAGTGCAAGGGGCATCTGAGTGATATCGATGGAAAAAGTATTTACCAGACAGATCTTGCATCTGCCCAGTTTAGCTTTCTGCTCTATTTTAGAGCAGGCTGTGTACTATTTAAGGGGTACAGTCTGATACAATAGAGAGAGATTGTATTTCAGGTTGATCATTAGAATCTGTATTCTTTTCTTGGACTTACTGGAATTGTGGAATTACAGTCTTTCAGTAAAGGTCACAAYGCATGACAGTCAATTAAATCTAACACATCCAAATGCATGTCATCCTATCTTCCAGGGGCCCAAAACCACCCTCCTCCCTTCAGTTAAACAAACCCCTTCCTCAACGACTTTCCCCAGCTAATAYGTGAGATGATGCCAGTTTTTGTCTGCGAAGTGACCTGTGCTTTGGCCACAACAGAGAGGTCATCACGTGAGAAGCATCCTGTCTGTCAAGAATATCTAGCTTGGGTATTTCAGCATATCACAGACATCGAACTGGTCAGAGAGAAGACTGTGTCTSTCAGGGAGAGCAAACCAGGCAGAAAAGAGATTTCGGAAAGTAATTGTATATTTTGATTTATATGCAAAAATTGCCCTTTGAACAATTTCCCTGCAGCTATTTGCTAGCAGCCAATTAAACGGTGCAAAAGTGATAACATTAAAAAACCCTCAGCACTGATTCTCAGCATTGCATATGAGGCATGGACTGTAAGTACCGTTAGAAATACAAGTCAGAACTCCCATGTGAAAAGGCCAATCTTTCAAGTTCACATTTTCTAAAGCTGGGATTGTATCCCTCCCATTTTCAGGAGATTTCCACTGGAGAGTAACTGATCACTTGAAAAGTGTTTTTAAAGTCACTACAAGTGCMTGATAAATCTCCTGTGGCAAACAACTGCAGTGCTACCTGCTTGAGATCTGGTCTCTGACAGGCTGTATCAGCTGGYCAGCAGTGATTTGGCTAAAGGAGAATCACATTTCAAGTGCTCAGAAAAATGTGCCTTCAAATGACTGTTAAAATTGGGCTGATTTCACTCCAGCTTCTCAACGTACTAGTTTAGTTAATTTATTGGGAAAATTCAATGTAGATGAAGACCATACCCATTATGAAAGARAACTCTCTCTTTGCCTGACTTGACACTCTCACCCTTAACAATCTTAGAGCAGTAAAAAGTGAGTCTTCTGTCTCCAARACAGAAATATTCTGGTCTTCCCAAAAAACAAAGCAGGAAAAATGGTGAAAATTATCTGTTTTGGATTTGATTCCAATTTACCCTTTGTTTTAGCCAGACTAAATTCTTCATGTCCATAAAATGATCTCTTCTTCAAAAATTACCTTTGGCTTAAATATAATGTTGACATGTTGCAGTCATAAGGCTCTCAAGAACACTTTGTCCCTAGGAATTTATGGGAGGAGCCTGAGATAGAAATGCAGGGCAGAACTTTCCTCATCCAGTCTTGGCCGGTAATCTATTGTGACTTGTAGGATTTGGGAGACAGAGACAGATCCTGCAGAAGTCCATTAGAAACCAGAGGTGAAGCAGGATAGGTATGAGAGGCAGGTAGGAWTTTGTCCATGGAGGTGTATGTGGTAAAGAACAAAAGGCCAAGCAGGCAGTCAGGTGTTTTTGGAGGYTAGCTTTCAGCTGTGCAGAGCTCATGAGCAACCTCCAGACTGTGGTTGGAAAAGGCTGGAAAAGGGAGGTATGAAGACTTACCAGATGAGTCTGGAGTCACATCTTCCATGTCTTTGCTAAGAGTTCGTCTGCTGACCATGGGGTATCACCTGAGTGCCCAGGCCTGTGTGTTGTCCAGGGCTCAGGGCTCTGTTTCATGGCAGAGTTGTTTGGGGTGCTATTCCTGATCACAGGAGAGAACAGTGAGCCATTTATAGCTGGTGAGCTTTTTCTTTGAGGAAAAGTGGGGAGAGAGATGTTCCTGTGTTTATTGACTGTCTGCTGTGCTCTATGTGCTTGTTATTGAAGGCAAGGTCAGGAGAGTTCATCTTGTCTCTCCATGTGACACAAACGGCCTACTTGGCACAACTTCTCATTTCATTGTGCCTCATCTTAGCGGTGACGGCATCTAGGTTGTCTGCTCAGCGTGTCTGAATCATTGTCAGCTGCTGTAAATCTATGGGCTTTTTAAGGTCTCCAGGAAAGTCTTTGTTCAGTAATACAGCTCTCCCCTTCAGTCTGCTCAGACTAATATGAGTCAGTGACCACTGTGTGTGGTAAAAGTGTAGGACTTTCTGAGTCCTGATATCTGCTTTTAAATGTCATTGGTTTGTTGTGAAGTCCATGTGGTATTTCCTTGCCCCCCAATCCTCTGGTGAGGACAAAAGCCCCTTTGGGRACCTGAACTGGGCTGGAGGGTCTGTGACAGCTGCATATGATTTAAAGGCATAACGGAGACAGCCAAAGCCAATTGTTGTCAAGAAGTGCTGCTGGCTGTCTGCAGTTACTTTTTCTTCTCCTTTTCTACAGGCTGTACCTGCTCCTGTCTTTTCAGCCCCTCTTGCTAATAGTTCACATCAGTGTTTTTTCCTTGTGCCACATTTCATCCYAGGCACTGTCCTGCCTTTTGCATCATGAGCTTAAATAAAATTGCTTTTTCTAGAAGTTCTGGAAGCTATCCCCTCTCTATATGACAGAATGAGTTATCTCCTCATGCCTTGCCCTCCTTAGCCCTGTTTCTTTTCTCTTATCAGGGCTTCACTAGGTTTCTCTTCTCTTGAAGTATTCTCTTGAAGTTCCCTGGAAATGGGTAAAAGGCTGAGGGGCAACCTAATAGCAGCCTGAGAGGACCTGCAAGGAGGTTCTCTGGAAGACAGGCCCACTCTTTGCAGTGGTGAATGACAGGAGAGCAAGGGGCAATGGGGATAAATYGAAACAAGAGAAGTTCTCAGTGGACATAGGGGAAGAAATCAGTCAAGCATTGGAAAAGATTGATGAGAGAAACTTCGTGCTCTTCATCAGAGATRCAGCTAGATGGAGCCTTGGGCTGGTCTGGCCTTCTTCCTGACCCTGCTTTGAACAGAAGATTGGGCAGGTGACCTCCTGAGATCCCTTCCGACCCAAGTCATTTTCTTSTAAGTTTTTTCTTACCTTTGTTCTCATTGCCCTCTCCACCTGTCTCATGCACAGTACCATCTTGGTGAATTATGTCTCTAGCTCAGTTTCAGTTCAGCATCCCCAGGACTTGTGTTTTCCTGCTAACTTAAAATCTCAGCCTTTCATAGTGACTTCTGCCTGCTATCACCTAGTTATCAAACTGGGTTTAGTTGCAGCATAGTTACTCACCCTCTTCTCACGCATATTCCCCTCATTTCTAAACCATCGTTTTGCAAAACCAAATGGTTTTGCAGGTTGCAGAGACAGTCTAAAAAAACATCTCAGTCATCCAGACCATTTTGGCTGTGTCTGCCTGACTTTGTAGAGAGCCAAACTCAGTGAATTTCCTGTTGTTTGCAGAAGGTACTGAAATCACACTGATTTCACTTTTAAAATGCCAGTACTTCGGTGTTTTTCAAAGCTTGGAGGATGGAGAATGAGAGAGAGAGCTGTCATTTTGGTGTTCAAGAAAACACTGCAGAGCTCAAAAGAGATGTGTTTGAGGCTGCCTTCCATAAAAGAGGCTTCATTCTCAGCAGTCTGGCAACACACTCTTAAAATGACTTGCTAATGATGAAACAGATTGCATTGTCTTTAAACAAATATTTGCTCTACTCTGTACAATTTAAAATACTTCTGAATGCAGCTGCAGGAATGATGTCCAGTTGTATAACATTCCTGTTGCTAAGAAGTAACAAAAATAAGTGTAATTATTTATTTTGGATGTCTGAAAAAAATTTCTGACATTTCTTGCACAACATTTGTTTGAGTCTGACTCATAATGCAGTCCCTTATAATTAGTGCACTAACTTCCATTAATTAGGCTGACACTTAATTGGATCTATAAAAAGCAACCGTGACATGTCTGGTTTTAATCAATTACTGCATGCTTCAGTCTGGTTCATGACTGCTGCAGTGATTGTTAATGACTTTGTATTACTGGGAGGCCAAATACATGAACTCTGTAGGTACAACAGTGAGTCTAGAGTTGYTTGGCTAGTTAGAG